TTCAGAAGTATTGCAAGTACTACGTACAACAATAAAACAGTGCATTGACATAAAAAAGGAAATTTACTTTTGGTACTTAAGTACTTTTAAAAGCAAGTACTTCTGTACTTTTACTTAAGTAAAAATCTGTCTTTACTACTTTTACTTGTAATGGAGTAATATTTGACCAGCAGTATCTGTACTTTCACTCAAGTAATGGAGTTGAGTACTTTGTCCGCCTCTGCATAAATGACAGTTAAAATATCTGTTTGCTTTAAAGGAACACTCCACGCTCATTTTCCAACTCGCCTAGAGTTAAACAGTTGAGTTTTACCGTTTTCGAATCCATTCAGCCGATCTCCGGGTCTGGCGGTAGCCTGTCAGAGCTGTGTGAGATCACTACCATCCTGCTTTTGTGGGGGTGGGTAGGGGTGCTAATTGTTTTCCCCCATAGGTTTTTAACATTCTAAAAGCTCTTTATTCCAAAGATACTACAAGCTAGTCAGTGTATTCAGTAGGTGTAATGTATTGTAAGTTGCTTCAGACGTATTGCAAGCATTACGGTTAGGGTTAGGGTTAACGGTGCATTGCCATAAAAAGTAAATTTACTTTTGGTACTTAAGTACTTTTAAAAGCAAGTACTTCTGTACTTTTACTTAAGTAAAAATTTGTCTTTACAACTTTTACTTGTAATGGAGTAATATTTGACAAGCAGTATCTGTACTTTCACTCAAGTAATGGAGTTGAGTACTTTGTTCGCCTCGGCTTTCTGATGGATAAAATCAAGCCCTACCCACTTTTACCTGTTTCACTGAGAAATATGTCACACTACAGATATAAAATAAGTTGAAAATCATGCTTTATAGTGACTTTGAGATTATGAGGGCTATGAAGTGAGGGTGTGACAAGGCCTGTTATGATATTTGGATGATTAAATGATTCCCTTTGAGCTAAATTATTGACCTGTTTACCCTACAGTGTCACATGGAGAGAATACATGGCGAGAATCAGATGGCATGTCTATATCTTCACTTCTTCTGACTGAAGACACATCAGATGACTTTAAAAGTGAGAAACGCCAAAATTTACAGTGGACAGATGTTCCCTGCTTTGATGTGTGGAGATGCAAGACGTTTCAATCGAGAGTAAAACGAACAGTTCACTCAAAAAATCCCTGTCATCTTGTACTCACCCTCATGTAGTTCCAAACATGTATGACTTTTTTTCTTCTGTGAAGAAGATATTTTGAAGAATGTCTCAGTTTTCTTTTTTTGTCCATACAATAAATGTCAATGTGGCCCATGTTGTTTTGGACCCCACTGACTTTCATTGTACATATAAAAATACAAAATTCAAATTTCAGCTAAATTCAATTTGAGTTTTGTTAGACGAATATAAAAAGCTTAGTATACCTATCTTCTATACTTATTTTGCTGGATCTGTCTGCTGCTTTTGATACGGTGAACCACCAGATTCTCCTGTCAACCCTATTGGAAAATGGCATCTCAGGAAACGCACTCCAGTGGTTTGAGTCTTACCTCTCAGATAGGTCCTTCAAGGTATCTTGGAGAGGTGAGGTGTCCAAGTCGCAACATCTAGCTACTAGGGTGCCTCAGGGCTCAGTACTTGGACCACTTCTCTTCTCTATCTACCCATCTTCAAGAAACAACTAAAAACACATCTGTTCCACCTTTATTTGACCTTTTGAACTCTAACACTTTCTATTCTATTTTAATTCTACTTTATCTATATGTATCTTCTTTTTTATTGTTTTATTTAAAAAACAAAACAAGTTCTAATATGCTGATTTGGTGCTTAAGAAACATTTTTATTATCAATGCAGTGCTGCTTAATATTTTTGTGAAAATATACTCTTTGATGAATAGAAAGATCAAAAGAACAGCATTTATTTGAAATATATTTTGTAACATTATACATATCAAAATCTTAATCTTAAAAATATGCTGATTTGGTGTTTAGGATGTTAAATGTTAAATGTTGATGTTAAAAAGGGTTCTGCTGCTCAATAATTTATATGTGTGTATGTGTATGTGTTTGTGTGTGTGTATGTGTATATATACACCTTGCTACGTGTACTGTGTTAGGCTAACCGAGACTTGCCATTTGCACTTATATATTGTTGCTCTTTTGTTAGTTTTGACTGCTTTTATTGTCCTCATTTGTAAGTCGCTTTGGATAAAAGTGTCTGCTAAATGACTAAATGTAAATGTAAATGTAAAAACAGACTGAAAAACTCTTCAAAATATCTTCTTCTGTGCTGCAAATTATAGAAAGTAAGTCATATAGTACATGATTCATTTTCATTTTTCACGCAAACTATCCCTTTAAAACTCACAATCTGAAGTTCACGTACTTAGCCCAAGAATGAAAACAAGGGCTTATTAATGGTAATCATGAGGTAGCATTTTAGTTGGAATTTTGATATTAATTTGACACCGTTGGATTATTTGGTTTGTTAAGGCTCGGAGTTAAAGTGATTGGTCAGCAGACACCATCACATAGTTTGCCATTTCAGAGGTGGCATGTTTGAAGGGCAACGGCACTGACATTTCCCTTGTTGCCGGAAACTGTCTAACAAGGTATTCCATGGTGTCACCAGCCGCTCAGTTCAGAAGTGTAAGAGACAGACGTTTACAGCTGAAAATAGCTCACTCATTATCAGTGCAGAAGAAATGAGTGGAGAGAGATTTCCATAATCAGCCCAAAATAAAACAGCGACATTTTGGTCAATCCTCACCTATTACTCTTCCCAAAGGTGAAGGCAGACGTGATAGAGGTTTAAAACAATTAAAAACCATATTTACGTTCCAAGGACTAAACATTTAGCGCTCAAATCTAAAAAGAGACCAAAGGCGTAATGTGCCCTGTATAATGTACCAAATGCAAAGATTAATTCCACACCAGTACATGCTAATCAAAGGCAACTCCCAATCACTCATTATGTAAGTTTCGAAACTGCCTATAAAATACTTAATTCCCTTTACTCTAGAGTTGTGCTCTAGATTTAGTTCATTTGGCAGCAGAGGCTTGTTTCCATCAGCTCTACACTGCTATAAGCGTGTATGTGTGTGTCCATGTGTGTCATAAAGGGTAAAGGCAGGGGGTGAGGGTTTAGTGAAATGCCCTTAGTTATATTGCCCATTACAGAGCCCCAGGAGTCCCTGTGGACCACCAACATGGGCCACAATAAAGCTAGTGGACAGATGGAAATAGCCAGAGAAATATTCCCCATTCACATAAAAAAAAAAGACATCCAGACCCCAATTAAACTACAAGGTCAGTTGTTTGATACGACTATGTGATAAGATACAACTTTTTTTGTTTGTTTACTCTCAGTTTCATTATATACTCCCAATATTCTATACTGCATAGTCAGAAGTTTTTGAATTTGTAGGAAAAAGCAGGAAATAATAAAAAGCATCTATAATTAACTATAATTTTTCAGAAGGTTCACAAGAACAGCATTTTTTTAAAGGTATTTTTTTTTGCAACAGTGTAGAAGTGTTTACTGTAACTTTTAACCAATGTAATGCATTCTTGTTTATATATATATATATATATATTATGGTGTATTAATCAAAATGATCTTCTACATAATTTATACTACACAACACGTTTTTGTGTTGAGACAACACAACATGTGTTGAGACAATAGTGCAATATATATATTTTTTATATAAACATTCAGATAGCACATATACGTTTGTGTTTGGATGTCCACATTTTTTTTATATATATTGTATGAGCAGTATAAATAAAAAAGGAAAAACTCTAATGACCTCATTGTTCATTTATGAACTAAAGACCCCTTGGTGACAAATATTGTCTGAAAATGAATCCCTTTGTCTTTCAGAAAAGCAGGTTAATTACCAAACCAGCATCCATTACACGAGTGCTGAATTATTTACATTTTGGACACATCCAGCAAAATAGAAGCTCTCGCCATGGATAAACTGTTGGAGAAGAGCTGCTGGGCTTCAGTGTGGCGTACATATTGATTTTTAATCATTTGAAAAGAACATTGTGCAGCTCAGCAAAATAAAACACATCATTCTGAAGTAATTCACAGTTGTCATGGGTGATCTGAGGAACAGTTTTTTTTTTTTTTATATTGTAGCTGTTGAGTGACAAACTTCTTATTTGCACTGACACAAAGATTAATGTAGAAGTGAAGCAGTGCAATTCAAAACAGAGCCGTTTGAGAGACATCATTATTCTCAGATTGATTATTTACAAGGACATGCAACAGAAAGAAAACGAAACCGCCCACAAGGTATCCACTCACAGAGGTGTTGCGTTGTATGAAATGCACAGAATGCTAACACCCTGCCAATACCCTAAATCTCTCTCGTTATAATCAATGCAGCACTGACGCATATACTGGAAGCATATGTTGTGTCGCGTCGAGATGTGTCTATTTTTGAAACCCTGCAGAGCTACTCCTACCACATAATTATCCATGTCTGTATGAAATAAAATTAATGCACTTATATCACTTCACCCTTATTTTTTCTTTTGCTATGAGTTTTATTTGTAATGTATTTAAAACCAATGCCTTTGGTCTATTAATTAATTGTAATATATAAATAAATACACTACTGTTCTAAAGTTTGGAGTCTGGGATTTTTTAAACGTTGGAAATGTTTTCTTTTTTTTTTTCTTCGATGATTAGAATGTTCACAAGAACCGCATTTATTTGTAATATAATTTTTCTGTAACTGTAAACGTTTGGTCAATGTAATACATGTATGTTGAATAATAATTAAATAATTATAAGTATAATAAATATATAAGATATATAAATATTTGAACCATTCATAGATTTTATTGCTGAAGTCATCAGCCTCGCAGCTGATTACTGGTCAAGCACAGTGTGAACAGGGCATCAGAAACACATCTCTACCGTGTACTTGGGCTTGTTTTTGTTTTTTTGTGCTGTTGACCTTTAGTATTGAAATTTGTAGATGTGGCCAATCAAGTTAGAAGAAGCTCTGACTTACAATGTGGAGCATGAGGTAGTCTCCCAGGCCGGGGGCACTGTCGATGCGGATCAGGATGCCATCCTTGAGTGAGGTGCTAAAGCCCACTGTCAGCCTGTCCGTACGGGTGCTCGGGCGCTCATTGGCCGGCCAGTTAAAGGTTATGAGGCCTCCACCTTTTCCAAAGATATACGTTGTTCCAGCTGGAAAAGATGAGAATGCAAAGATCAGCATGTATAACTGAGGGCTTGACTCGAAACATATTTGCAATAAACTAATTATTTTCATGAAACTGTGTGCAGAAGAATGAAAAAAAAGAAAGTTTGAGCCTAATATCATGACATTTGGAAGTAGAAAGAATGAAATAGTATTTTCTTCTAAATAATTCTTATTTACAACTTCTTACAAAAAGTCTTTTAACAGTGTATTTAATGACATAAAATCCACTGAAATGTAATTCCAAACGCATTTATAAATAACAGCAGGACGAAAACCAGAATAAAACCACACATGGTCACATCCACAAATGGTAATAGTACAAGAACCAATGACGTGTCACTAAACTGTCCTCTTCAAGTTTCCACAACTGGGCCAAAGACTTTGAGAAAAGTCCTGACATTTTTAAGTTGTCAGCGGCTGCTCTTACCAGAGTTCTC